TATGGCTACTTTATAACATGTAATATTAAACATAAAGTCCAACGAAAACTGGTGATGAATACGTGAAATAATAAAACTTCAAAGTCTATGAGGCTTTCAGTTGCTAAGTCCTCAGGAGTAGACAGTCTACTCCTTCGCCACAGTCTGTGCTTGGTCTGGAAGCTCTGCTGAAACCTGCTCACTTGGGGTGACCCTGCTGGTGTTCAACACACTGGTGGCATAGCCTCCAGCATCACAGAGACACACAAGCCACCAGGGCACAACAAACGGACAGACAAGCTTACATCATCACCATCTTCAAACTGTATTTCATTAAATGAATCAACCTTAGTGGTCGGCTAAAACATTAGTCAGATGAAATACCTGGATGAAATTAATCATCTCACGTTATACAGTTGTAAGGAACGTGAATTGGCAACATTAAAAATGGCCTCACTTGTCTTAAAACAAGCAGCCACCTAAGTGAGGGGTTAACTAAAGCGTCATGGCAGAAGCACACCAGCCTGTGTGATCCAAGGATTGCTAATTCTGAGTACTTGGTTTGCAGAAGGCTATGGATAGTGTGTAATCCCAAAGTCCCTTTGCAGGGTCCCCAGATGGATTACACCTCCGGTGAATTCCCTCCGACCACAGTCCAGGGATGTGAACAGCCTTGCTAACAGACAGAGAATATAGTAAAGTCGATTATGGCACATGTAGTCTGGTTAAATGTAATACCTTATCATTTAATCTCCCTTTTGACCCATTTTAAAGTTGTTGTAGTTTTAATATTTTCAGCTTCCTTTTCAATTGAAGTTTTTCTCTCTTTTGTTTTATCGTTTTTGTTATTTTTGGTTTATTTTGTTTGATTTTCTGTATATAAAATACAGGATAAGTAAATATTAGAGACAATAAGTACATTAATAACTATCTAGGGGCATAGCAGGAGAGGTTGGGGGAAGAGGGAGATGGGGAGCTAACAATGAGTACGAGAAAGAAAATGTTCTGAAATTGATTGTGATGATAATTACATAACTCTTCTTAATATGACTAAACAATTAAAGCATTTGATATGTGAATTATATGCCAATAAAATGATTTGTAAAAGATTTTGCAACTGAAAAAGAAAGTCACCCCAAAAAACAGAAAGTGAATGACAACCTGCCGTTTACAAACGTGAGCAACATCGCTACCTCTCCTTACTGAAATACAACAGGAAACAATGGCATAAGCGTACAGACTCAAAACCGAGCACGACTATGAACGCGTTTTCAATTAAACTAATCTAACTAGATTATTTTAGATGCTCTGATAACAATGTTACCTCACAGTTTTCTTATATGAGATTCCTTTAACAAAGACAAGAGAAGAGGGGGTTAAAAACTTTCAAAACTCACCCCCATTTGCTCACCTGCTAAAATCCTTCTCGGTCTCTAGTTCCTCTTCCCCGTGACCAAGACGCAGGAGATGGCGCTCATCAATGTCTAGAGCCATGATTTTCTCAAACAACTGGTTCAGGGCCTGGAGAACAGAACAAACAGGATGACAGGCTTCGAGAAATCCGCAGCCTAAAGACAACACACTCAGAAGAATGGCAAAAAGGAGCATTATATCGTCTGATAGCCATCGAAACTGAGAGACAGTCTTACTCTGGACCATTTACAATTTAAACACACTAGCATTTACATTCATTTGAGATTGCTGCTTGCGTATACCTGGCCAAATCAATAGCTAAAAATCATAAACATCACCTACCGAGTGGTACAGTGGCTTAAAGCAGTTGGCGGATAACCTAATGGTTAGAAGTTTGAATCTACCGGCAAGTAGTAGAGATTTACAACCTTAGAAACCATATTCTGGCAGCTCTACTCCATCGTCCAAGTTCACTAGGAGTCAGAATCAACTTGACAGCCGTGGGTTTGGTTTTTAAATTTATAAAAAGAGGAGGGTGGAAGGAGGGGGGTAGAAAGGGGGAACCGATTACAAGGACCTACAAATAACCTCCTCACTGGGACTGGACAACAGAAAAGTGGGTGAAGGGAGAAGTCAGACAGTATAAGTAAAATATGACAAATAATAATTTATAAATTATGAAGGGTTCATAAGGGAGGGGGGAAGGGGGAGGGAGGGGGAAAATGAGGAGCTGATCCCAAGAGCTTAAGTGGAGAGCAAATGTTTTGAGAATGATGAGGGCAACGAATGCACAAATGTGCTTTACAAAATGCATTACTGAATTGAAAACTGATTTGCTGTATAAACCTTTATCCTATGCTCAATTAAAAAAAAATCAAGAGTCCCAAACAACTTATGTGTCATATTTGCCACCTGTAACACACTTGCCTTTTTAATAAACTATTAAGTATTCCGTGAACTCTGTAAAGTATAGGAACTCAAGATAAATGCAACATAATAATTGAATACTTTTTTTTAGCACTTTTGAGGTCTGTGATCAATTTAGTCAAAGATCATGGTCAAGAGCCAAAACCAAACTCACTGCTGTCAAGTCTATTCTGACGCATGGCGACCCGATAAGAGAGGGTGGAAACTGCTCGCTGGGTTTCCAAGACTGTAACTCTTTATGGGAGTAGAAAGCCTCATCTTTCTCCCAAGGAGTGACTGGTGGTTTTGAACTGTTGATCTCGAGGTTAGCAGCTCAATGTGTAACCACTATGCCACCAGGGCTCCTTCAATAGCATATTTTATTTAAATTTAA